AAAAACAGAAGACCGATAAGACCACGAAGATCATACTCGACGGGTGGTACCAAAGCCAAAATGGCATTCACGAGTATTCTCATTATTTATACGGGATCGTCGAATACTCAGAATGGTATATACGTTTAAATGGTCGGCATCCCGGGCCAAGGCCAAATCCCTCGACTTTGTTCTGTAACCCCTTAGTGGTAGCATCTTCGCAACAACCATCCAAACGCAAAGAGCAACGCCTACATTCACCCTCGTTTTTCTGATGTCTTTTTGAGTCTCGCTTCTTAAATTGGTCTCTCTCTCTCTCTCTCTCTCTCTCTCTCTCTCTCTCTTTCTTTCTCTCTTTCTCTGTTGAAAGAGTATCGTAATGGTTGGCAAGAAAATCTGATCGTTCTTTGTAATATTTATTTAATACGGTCATCGGAATTGGTAGACATTATATTTCTTTGAAATCCCATTAAAATTTCAAAGGTGAAAGCGAAGGGGAATACTTATCAATTTTTTTAGTAATTCCATCCGATCAAAATCGATGATAATATTTGAAAAAATAATAGAAGAAGGGACATAATTTAAAGATGATCCATCGAAATTTAAGAAAATCACGTCAGGATCTATTATAAAAATTTGAAAATAACGAAAAAGAGATATTCTCTACGATAACAAAGAATTCTCAATCCATCAAGATTTGACTCTACCTAATATTTATATTATAATACTACGATCTTTACTTAGATTTTCTCGAAACGGATCAACTATATCTTACTGTTTATTTAGTATTAAAAAAAAGCGTAATAGTTAAAGAAAGTGAGGAGAAAAAAGGGAAAGGGAAAGAAGATAATAAAGATCGAAGGGAAAAAGCTAACAAAAGAGAGTGAGTATTATATTTAAGTATTTACTTTTTAAAACTTCTTTTTCATTGCATGAGAGCTTAAGCGTACACAATGTCATCGATTGAAACGTGACATTTCGTCATTGTCTTTACTATTTTTTTTCTCTGTTTTTATTACATATATATAGTTTATTATTTCAAATAAATAAATATTGTTCTTCCTTGTTCACAAAAAAAAAAAAACAAAAACAAAGAAAAAAAAATAGTCGATTGATACACGCGATAGAATTTAAATTAAATATCCCGTGAACAATTATCAGATTTCCCTAGAGAGAAAGACCAACCAAAAAAAAAAGAAAAAGAAAGAAAGAAAAAAAAAAAGAAAAAGATAAAAAAGTAGGGAGAAAAACAGAAATAAAAGAAGGGAAAAAAAAGGATCAGACCTTAATACATATAAAATGAAAGTGGTGGAGATTGAAACAACTCTGGTAACGTGGGTCTCATATCTCGCAGTGAGACCAGACGAGAGCGTATTGCTTTTTAAAGTGGATGAACGTGTTTCCGATTCTCCCGATAAAAACGTCGAATAAAATATAGAAATGAGTGTAAATATTATTTCGAAGTTTTTTCGAAATAGGCGGATACTGTTCCTGGAGAATTCAGAATGAAAAAGAGAGGGAGAAGATAGATAAAGAGAGGGAAAAACAGATAGAGAGAGGGGGCCAAAAAAAAAAAAAAGAGAAATACTACAAAGGAATCGAAGAGATAAAGATGTATAAAAGATACAGAGGCAATTCCCGAGGAAATGAAATAAAACAATCTCATATGATTGTACATAAGCTTTTATCACTCTTGCTGCCTTTTCATGATACTACCACTAAATATATGCAAAAAAGGTGTGTATATATATATATATATATATATATATATATATATAAGTAGTAAAAAAATAAATGGCAATAACTTAAGAACTCGTAACTTCATGAATTGCAAATCGAAGTTTAATTATTACTTATTTATTTTTTTTTTTTTTTTTTTTTTTTTTTATTAATTAATAACACAAATCTAAAAAAACATGTATTCAGAATAATCACTTTTACATTTAAAAGAAGCCGTCGACATTTTTTTTTTTTTTTTTTTTTTTTATATATATATATATAAAAAGAAGAAGAAAAAAAGAAAATGAAATAATAAAAATTCGTTAATAATTCATGAAACTGAAGTTGCTGCCACTTAATTTGGATCACTCTGTATATATATACATATATATATATATCCAAATATTTGAAAATACATCCTAAACTTTAATGTTAAAATTTGGAAAAATAATTTCACTTAATGAGAAAAAAAAATTGTTGTTCTTATCTCTGATAATTAAAAATATAGATCTTATTTATACAATAGAGATAATCAATTCTTTTGGATTGTCAGTTCGATTTCATTTTTGATCAACTTCGAAGATTCGACTTCACAATATAATAAATAATGTAAAAGAAAATAAACAAAGAATATAATGAAAATCCCTGAATACAATGACTATTCATTCCACCGTCTAGTGGCAGCAAATTTTGAAAATGACGTTGAATCAAACACGAGAGAATTCAGTAACGATTGCATTGCGATTTCCACGAGTTCCTCTGTGAATACTTAAATTACTACCACACCAGAAATAACGAGATC